GCACCAAGAGCTTGTAACACTCCAAAGAGAAAGGAAAAAATGAAATCGCATCATATGACCCCTTTAAGTAAACATCACAGTATGAATAATGTGCCAGGCGCCTCTGAGAGCTGGTGTGAGGTGAATAAACATCCCTAAATGAACATCAGAGCTGAATGACCTCTATTCATCGGCAGATCAAACCTTCTTCCTCTTTTCAGCAGCACTACCTCCCTGACTGTAGACTTTCTTTGGGCTTCATACCCGTCACAAGCCTCTAGACGATCCTTCTTTGATGAATTATTTCACTTAATGGAATAAAGACATCGACCATTATTAGGTTTAAGCTAGCTGACGCCAGAGTTTCACTTGCACACATGTGGCACACAGTCCAGGATGCCTAAATCAAGCTGATCCTATTCTCGCCGATGGCATTAGTGCCTCACTTGAAAACAAATTAAAACAATGTGAGCCAGTGAGGCCAGGCACAGAATGGGATTTGTCCTAAAAGAAACGTAGTGCTATCATGAGTATGAATTCTATTTGGACTAGGGATGCACCGATACCGATACTGGTATCGGTACTAACATTATACATACTCTTTTGGTTTCTGTACCCAATATTGAAAAAATGTACAAATGCAATAAAAATATCGGTACTCGGTATCGGCAAGTACCAAAAATAAAAGTATCAGTATTGGGCGAGTACTGGAAAAAGTGGTATCGGTGCATCCCTAATTTGGACCAAAAAAAAAACAAAAAAAGGTGAAGGGAGGGCGAGAATCAGGTAATGCTATTTATCTCACCAAAGAAACTAATGTTCCTTCGCAAGCTGGGATAAAAATAACAGACTCATTGAGTGCCTATGTGCTCAGTGCCTTGGAGGGACTCTAATGCATTTTCATTTAGACCAAGCTCAGATGTTATTAGGACCGACTCTCTCCATCTTCATTTCACTGTGATCTCAAGGCCAAAGCAGACAAAGTGGGCCATTCTAGTAGTCCTCTTAAAAATCATTTAGACAGAAAACAGCGAAAGGCAGATATACTGAAGCATAGTTGAAATCACTGTTATCATGGCATCAAAGTCTTGCATCTAAATTGTGTATTAGACGCATATTTTTTTCTACCTCCTAAAGGCCATTGGTTTTAAAATTGTAAAAAAAAACTGTAAAAAGATCTGGGAGGATTCAGACATCATTTTTAATTAAATTAGTTTGCACAATTATTCTGTATCCAGTTGCTGGTTGTGATCAAAGTAGGGTTTCAGCAAGTGCTGTAGCTGCTCAATGAATGAAACACAGCATCAATATTTAAATACAGCAAAGAGTCTATTTTTCAGATACAGAAAAACAGAATCACTCACTCACAAAAATCAAAAAGCAGATTCAGGTCTTTTAACAGCAGGGTTTGTTTTACAATATATTGTCCTGCTCTGATGTTTCCAATAAAATGTCCATATTCAAAACAATCTAAAGACCTGAAGTTAAATCTCTTAAATAGTGAAAGTTGGTCAAAATCTTCAGTGAACCCGATCATAGGACTGTGCAGTATGACAGTTTATACCACGTGATGCACGGCTATGAATGACGACTGACTGCATCCAATATTTCCAGATTCATCTATAGTGTGATGTATAATCGAATGAATAGATTACTGAAGAAAACAAAACAGAAAAAACATCTGCCCATTGGACAACCTTATTGCTTTGCCCACACACAGTTATACACATAATCAGAGAAGAGATGTCATTGTGAAGGGAAGCATATGTTAAAGGGGTCATATGATGCTGCTAAAAAGAACATTATTTTGTGTATTTGGTGTAATGAAATGTGTTTATGCGGTTTAAAGTTCAAAAAACACATTATTTTCCACATACTGTACATTATTGTTTCTCCTCTATGCCCCGCCTTTTTGAAACGCGTCGATTTTTACAAAAATACCTCAAGCGTGTGACAGAAATGTTACGCCCCTCGCCATACTGTTGATGCCGTGTCCCGGCCGGAGCTTTGCAGATATTGTTTATGCTCAAACAGCAACATTACACACAAACTAACGTTAAAAAAGTGAAATCGCAATCAACCACCCCTTTAATTAAAGACTATGGGGGCATGTGTTCAAAAATATATAATAAAATGATGATCACGGACAAATCATTAATAATAAACACTGCAACATAAGTTAAGAAAATCAGAAATATCTATTTTGATTTCATGCTGACTGAGACTGCTTTACATTATTTCGAATGAGGGCAACAAAGAAACATGGGAGTCCCAAAGAAATCAAGAAGAAGAGGTACTGCTTTGTGTGGCTCATCCAGTCAGAACTATACATTTATTATTATTAGTTTTATAGTTTTGAGTGTTTCTGTTTTACATGAAGTGAAATGTTGAAATGAAAGACAGGTCTTGGAAAATTATGAAGAGCCTTATATTTTGGTCTGCGCCCAAATACAAAAACAAAACAAAAACAAAAACAAAAAAAAACAGAAAATAAAAGTAATTTTATTTGTGAAGTATTTAATTTACCGAATTGTCCAATAATAGGGATTATCAAATGGTTTTGTATTACATCAACCATCAGGTATTGATGTAACCTCTAACCTTGATTAGCAATGCTGGTTCATAAGGGAACTGTTCTTACCTTGAAGTTGCATATACATGTTATTATGTCCCCAATTCTGAGACACTCGCCGTCAAACTTGCAAGAGTTGGTGTCACAAAGGAAGAGATCTGTGTCCCGGTCATCATCCCCTGCAACAACAAGAGCCAAAAAACATAATGAATTTCAGCATAAACACAGAAGTCTCAAGACACAACCAGCACAAGCAGGATAATATTTTTTTTAAACACTACGGATAAAACAAATTCAGCAGAACTAATGGAACAAACACATGATCCAGCAGGCAGGCTGGCAGGGCCTCTGAAGGGTTCATCAAGTTCTCACCTACCTTCTCACCTCCTCTCCAAGACCATATTTCGCTCTTGAGACATTTTCTTATTGGGAATAAAACAAGTGCTCATGGAGGAATAATGATTCAGCACATGGTGAACTTCTTGGAATCACCGCATGAGAACCTTATTCAGCTTTCAAAATAAGCTGAGTACAGGCTCTGATAAATATTCCTATTTTGCTGAGGAGCCGGACAAACTCTGAAAAATCACACTTCATCAAAAATCAAGAGCTTGCAGACAGTTTAAGTCCACAAGGATTCCTTAAGATGATTACAATTAAGATGACTTGTTTCCAAAAACAGGCCACCGCTGAGTCAAAACCTCATTTTACTATTCAGCTTACAAAAGCTGACTGCTGTACATTCAACAATTATTCTTCCAAAATAATGAGTTTACCCATTAGGCACTACATCATTCATCCCTTATCTTATACCTTTTATAATTATGCAAGAAATAAGCAACTCTATCATTTGCTTAATATTATACAAATGACACAAACTTTACACAAAGAATAATATCTCATTTTACATTCCATATTACCCGCATATATTTCGACTCAAAGCGCCATATATCATCATAATAAGACTACACGACACAAAACAGTGGGTCTGCTCATGTGTCCTGGGATTTTTGCTGTCAAAGCAAATAAGCTTCTCGCAAGTGCTACACAGTATTTTTACCCTGTGTTATCCGGTGAGGCCCGGAAGCTAGAATGAACCAGAACATTGCTCATTGTAACGACAACACCAGAGGACATGCAGCTACTTTAGGCCCCTGCTAAAGGGCCACATACAGCGCAGAAATATGTCTTACATAACCTTGTGGCTTATTTGTATTTCAGCTAAAAATTATCAATGGACCTTAAAAGCTACAGGGGGGCAAAAAACAAACAAAAAAAAAACAGTAGTCTTGCGGGACAGTTGTAATATTCACATTGTGATCCTCAGTTCTGGAGACCTTGAGAAATGATGCTGGCTCTTGGTTTGTGCATAAATCCCTCGTGTAAAATTAGTAGCTGTTTACGCTTTGCAGCAGGAATATTTCATTAAAATTAATCTTGTTCACAATCTGTTCTTAAGGAGCTGTGATAAACTGACATTCAATCAATTCAGCCTAAAGCAACAAATGCTAGTCAGAGTATTTGCCAAAGCTAATTAGTCAAAACCATTGTCAATCCCTTGGCTTACTGATAAAATAAGAATTCATGCCTTAAGTTAAGTCTAATACTTCTTACACAAATCATTTTCCTTGCATTCATTCTTCCCATATTTTGAGGCAGCACCAGTAGAAGTCCTAGCTCACTTTGTGCCTTAAAGGCATAGTTCACAAAAAAAAAAATAGTGATCCTTTACTCACACTCATGTTGTTAATGTATGACTTACTTTCTTCTGTGGAACACAAAAGAAGATATTCTGAAGAATGTTTTTGTACAAACATCCTTAGACCCCAATGACTTTCACTGTATAGACTAAAAACACTGAGAAATGGAATTCTTCTTTTTACCAACAATGATTATTTAAAATCCACTTGGCTCACAAATCTAATGTGGCACATTGCTCTTTGGTTAGAGCGGGCATGATGCATCTGCTTGCATTATTGATGCAAGCACTCCCTCTGCGAAGGCATACAGATGCAAAGCATTTTGTCACACCTCTACTGCTTGGCTGCCCTTTCATAGCTGTGTCATAATACAGTTTGACCTCGCGACACAGGTAGACGCATTTGAGTGCATGTCTGAAACGTGCAGTATTGAACAAGGCACTTGGCAACAGGAGCAGGAGGGGGAAATTATGTAATGGATCAGAGAGGAACATGGATATCTGAGTCACAGGAGCTTTTCTCTCACCAGACACAAAATCCCTCTATTCAGTCTAATTAATCTGAAGAAGTGGCACCCTGTAGTGACACTGAAAAAACACATTCCATTAAAAAAACAACACATGAGGTGCCACCATTTCAGAAACTGTAAGATAAACACCAACTGACCTTGAAAAGATATATTATAACACACACACACACACACACACACACACACACACACACACACACACAGGTATTCCTATCATTATGGTGACATTCTATAGGCATAATGGTTTTTCAACTCATAAACCGTATTTTCTATCCCCTTACTCTAACCCTACCCCAAAACAATACATTAAGCGATTCAACAGTCAGGACCAGTGTTTACCAACCTTTTTATCTCCCGAACCTTCACAGCCACACAAGTAATTTCAATTACCCTTTCATCAACAACAAACCAGAAATGTGTTCCCTTTACAGCATATTGTAGTTTATATTATTATTATTATTATACAAAACTGGTTTCACACAAGATAAGGTCTCAGTGTTTTTGTCCATACAATGAAAGTTGTTTTGGACCCTACTGACATTCATTGTATGGACAGTTATCTTTTTACGTTCCACAAAAGAAGTAGTCATAGCAGTTTTGGAATTATTATTATTTTGTTTTTTTAGGTGGTGGTGAACTACGTATCCCTTACGTAACCCTTAAGAAACTTCTGATGTACCCGCTGAGGTCCACATTCTCCTGGTCTAGACCATCAAATAAAGTTCAAAGCCATATAAGGTTAGGACAGGAAAGTAATAACAGAGATTGAGGAAAGTTATCAGGTCACGCTAGAGGAAATGAGTTCTAGAAACAGGCAGCGGCATCCTTGCAATTTTATTACGGTGATTTCTTCATCAAGGACACTGAAAGGCCTCTAAATGCTTAACAAGATTTTAAACTCAACCAAAACATCAGTCAGATAATTTGATTAACTGTAAATACGCTTTTAGAAGTCTGTTAAAAATGCTTTTTGAGCAGGGCTGAGTTACCATGAGCGGAAAGGAATTTTGTTCTGCTCTCTTTAAAGTCTCTCTCTGGTAGGACAATCTTTCAGTAGCTGTCTACATGGAGAGATAAGATCTGTTTTCCTTTTCTTTGTGAAGAAAGCACTGTATGTGTATGGACAACAAAATTTCAATAAGAATTCCTCAAAGTCATTCCTTGAAGTCACAAAGCAATGATTAGAGCAGCCAAACAGGAAATTACATCTTTCATCCTAAGATGCTGTACTATCTGACGGCCCACAAAAACAAGTTAAAGCAACTCTTCCTGAATCCAAAATAGACTTTCTCTAAGTACAAAAACAGTTCAGTTTAAACACAGGACTCTTATGAACTTCAAGGTATGTGTATATGAAAAAGTGATGTGCAAACAGTCTGCACGGCCATAAATAAGATAACAGTTGATGCATAACTATCCACAACAATGATTTGCAGAGTCGATTCTTTTGGAGCTGTCACTAGCAAGGCAAACACTATATTTAACCTCCCAACAAACATCCTTATACTGACATCAAAACATACTGGAACACATTACATTTAGTACAAAACATAATACAGATGTAAAGGAAGGTTATAGAATTTATTGTATTCCTGAAGCATTAAACAAATACTAGAATCTTCTTTCAAAAATAAGATTAAAATTAAAGGTGCACTAAGCAATATTTGAAAAACGCTTTTGACCACAGTGTCGTACCGAGTCCCAAAACGCTTGCTGCCAATCAGCAGTAAGGGGCGTGTCTAGTGATGATAGGGAGAAGAGAGCGCTCAGTGAGTGCACAGGACGGATATTAGCAGATCGAGAGATGGCAGATAATAAAAAAAAAGGGAAATTTCAGAGGAACAAAACATTAAAAAGAACGGTAGGACCCACATAAATATTGGAGCAGCTTTCCAGTGGTGGAGAGGACTCAAGGAGTGGGAAGGCCTGGAATCAGATGCCGAGGTTGCTTTGTTTCTTCTTGATAGGTGAGTTACGTTGATTTTGCTTTGTTTCACACAACTAATCTGTGTTGGCTTTTGCTTGAATACGCTTAGCTGGCAGGCATAGCAGATTCCGCCATCTCCGCTGCCAGGGTTGTGTACGTACATGTGGGGCGGAGTTATCAAAATAGGGGTGAGGTCCTGTTGGGCTATGGGCATGTGTGTTTTGGTGATTTCAAATATCAACATCATTTGGCAAAATTTGCTTAGTGCACCTTTAAATATAGAATTCTTTAATATTTTAAAATACAATTTAAAGGATATGTCTAATATATGTGCCACTAACATTACAAAATAAATAAATAAATAATACAAATAAAAATGATTTAAATATTTTCTTCATCTGCCAATGGTCACAAAAACAGATAGTCCTGCTCCAACTCATGCCATTACTCTTTTTAGGAATAAGTTTGGAAAACAGTTGTCTGTGAACAATGATCCTCTTTAGGCAAAAATATTTTTAATCTAAAAAAAATGCACACTTTAAAGTCGCCATAAAATTTAAATTTACATCTATTTTGTAAATGCATGTTATGGATTTTTTTTTTTTGTGAGTGAGTGATTTGTGTATACTGTATGTTTCATTTTTATATTAATATACTGTATGATATATTAATAATATTATATATTTTTGACCTTATAATGTTTAATAAAAATGTCATAATTCAATCTTCCAGTGAAATCAACAGAGTTCTCCCTGGTGATGTACATCAGACTTCTCCAGTCATTTAGGTTGCTTAAACTCTGCCTCAAAATCCAACCATCAACTGATGGATAGAACCAAGTCACACACTTACATTTTTTTTGTTGATAATTTGTTGCACACAGATGTACGGTAAAATATGGAAGAAAAGATCTGTTGCTACTTCTGTCTCATTGCAACTTTAAGACATCCTATATAAGGCCAAATATTTACATACTGCCTCGTATTCCCACCAAACAAGTCCGTTTAAAATTCTAAAGCAACAAATTCTATAAAGAACTTCATAATCAGTATAACCTTGGTAACCGCTTGTTTTTGGAGCAGCATAATTTGTCCTATGGCTTGGCCACTTTTGCATAATAGCTATTTAGTAGCTAATGGAAGGCAATTTAAAACAAATAGGTTAGTTACAGCTGTAGCTTTACAGTGACAAGGTGAAGGGCAGATTTAGTATAGAGAATGTGTGCAGAACTTCATAACTTACAAATACATATGAAGAACACAAGATTGTACTAATTAATAATTCCACCTCAAATATTATAATTAGCCAACAACATCCACTTCATCAGTAACAGAGTTCTAACAGTCCTAATTAAGGGTGTTGCTACCTCCAGCTGCATGTTTCTTCCTTCTGCAGTGAAATAGGAGACTTTGTTTGGCTCACACACCTGGTATTGCAGGTCTCCTAGCTCCTCAAGAGTGTCGTAATTTTAACAAAACAAACGAGAAGTGTGAGCCAATGTTATGTCTCACAGTGTGCCAAACAAGAGAGTGTTGGGGGAGATGCAGATTGTTATTTCTGCCTTGCCAGCGAGGTGAATAATTGAAAGAAGCAAGCTGGCAGAGACACAAATATTCTAAAGGTGAAGTGCAGACAGCTCCAGTGAGTGAGACATCAGACCAGTTGTCTGGCCATTAAAGAGCTGGATTTCAAACCTCAGGACATTGTTATCAGTTGAAAATGTTTTAGCTTTTGCTTGAGGTGTAATACAAAGAATCTGTTCAGAATTCTCTGCTCTTTAGAGACAGAGGAGTAGAACAAGTGCGTTTTGAAAAATCTGGATACTTTGTAACTAATGGCGCTTTTCCACTGCATGGTACGGCACCGTACGGCTCGGTACAGTTCACTTTTGGGGGGTTTTCCACTGGGTACGGTACCTGGTACTTTTTTTAGTACCACTTCGGTTTGGGTTCCAAGTGAACCGTACCGTTACCAAAACGTGACGTGTAAACTCTGCTGATCACGGATTGGCCGGAGAGATTCGTCACTACCTGCGTCATTGAACTTGTGACACAAACACAAAAGAACCGCTAGATTTAAATCAGCACAGCCAGCGAAGGATCGAACGCAACTGTTTTGAACAAGCGCACCTTTTTTAACAACCAAAAAGTGGCTGTTTTGTTGTCTGTTGAGGAAGTACAGACGTTCCTCTCGTTGATAGCAGAGGAGCAGATCCAGGCGACGCGGAATGAAAAAGTTTTTCAGGAGTCAATAGAGGCGGCGCAACTATAACGACATGTGAATAATCCCGCCCACTCTAAAGCGGTACTGAACTGCAGTGGAAACGCAAACCGAGCCGAGCAGTGCCGTGCCGTACCGTACTGAGCCGTGCCGAGCCGAGTCGTACCATAATTTGCGCCATAATTTGAAAATACTCTAACAAACATCTAACAGACAGCAAAGGTTCAAAGAGATAGTTCACCAAAAAATGAAAATTCTATCATTTACTATCCTTTTGCTGTTCCAAACCAGTATAACTTTTGTGAAACACTACGCTATGGTCTAAACAACATTGACTTTCATTGTACACTCTCAGAAAAAAAGGTACAAAAGTTGTCACTGGGGCGGTACCTTTTCAAAAGGCACACCTTTGTACCTAAAGAGCCCTTATTGGTACCTTAAAGGTACATATTAGTGCCTAAAGTGTACATATTAGTACCTAAAAGGTACAAAAGTGCACCTTTTGAAAAGGTACCGCCCCAGTGACAGCTGTTGTACCTTTTTTTCTTAGTTTACGGACAAAAAACACTGACATTAAAAAAAAAAAATAATAATAATAAATACAAGTTTTAAAATGTTACAAAAAATAAATAAATGAAATATACCTTTAAGACTTTAATTGAACTACCAAAAACTGGCAGTTTATGTTGTTGTGTCTCTTCAAATTCAAAAAAGTCTGCTGTCCCCTCTCACCTACTTTGTTTGTGCTTGTCTCGCCTCCTTTGCAGCTGATATGCAAAAGCCCACAGTGAGCCAGCAGAGCAAGAACTCTCCAAAGGAGAGCTATTGACAATGAACAATACAAATAAAAGCTTACGGCCCTTTGGGCAGTGACTTACTTTTGAGGCAGTAGCTACATAAAATTGATACAAAAAAGCTTACAGAGTTGACTGAATTCTAATCATGAACAGAGAAGATACTTCAGTAATAAGGCATTTACTTTGCAAAAGTATTCACACCGCTTGTGTCCACTGCCAATGCCCTTAGGTTAGGATTGTTGACTAAACAGCTGGTTTGCATTTGTTTTGCTGTGTTCAGCGCATAATTCTGTGCTGGGGATTTAAACTATATTCAGTCAGTAAGAAATTCAGGTTTCATGCCATAACGCTGCAGGTTCCTCTCTTATGTTTTTTTTTTTTTTTT